GACGGCAGTCACCGAGTGCCACACGTATTTTTTGGGACGCTCAAGGCATAATTATGGTGGAATATTTGGAAAAGCGAGCCACTATTACGGGCTCTTACTACGCAGACCAAATAAGAAGATTACGGGAGCCCATTAAGGAAAAAAGACGCGGCAAACTGCGAGCTGGAGTGCTGTCTCACCAAGACAATGCAACGGCTCACAAAGCCGCAGTTGCGATAGCTGCCATTCAAGAAACGGGATTCGAACTGCTCGAACACCCTCCCCATTCGCCAGATCTAGCTCCTAGTGACTCCTATCTCTTTCTTCGGCTCAAGGAACGCCTCCGAGGCAAGAAATTCGAAGACGATAGCGAAGTAATGGAAGCTGTTGAAACGTTTTGGGAGGGTCAAGACAAAGAATTTTTTTCAAAGGGAATCCTGGGTTTAGAAAAAATATGGACTTAATGTATTGATTTGTTAGGAGACTATGTAGAAAAATAAATTATTATTTTAACTTTAATTACCGTGTTTTATTTTCATTATCATTACTTTAGGATCACCCCTCGTATTATGATTAAATTATTTCATTGTTAATATTATTGCAGGTAGCTTATTAATAATAATAATAATCAATAATAATAATTTATTTGACTCTCAATCAACAGGTTACACTTATGTATTATATCTATTTAAAATTACAAAATTACATTTCAAAATTAGTTGGCGTTGACGGCCATACTAGTATAAACTGTGTTACAGCCGTCAGCGTCTTCCACCCTGAGTAGTACAATACAAATACAGTATAAAAATGACAAATTATTTCGCTATAATATAATACACAACCATGTTAAGTTAAATAATAAATTAAAAAAAAAATGAAGAGAAAACTTTCTAATTACCACAAAGCAGTGTGTGTGTGTGTGTGTGTGTGTGTTGTGTGTGTGTTTGTGTGTGTGTGTGTGTGTGTGTGTGTGTGTGTGTGTGTGTGTGTGTGTGTGTGTGTATGTGCTGTATAGTGTGTTTTTGTGTTGTGTGTATGTGTGTGTGTGTGTGTGTGTGTGTGTGTGTGTGTGTGTGTGTGTGTGTGTTTGTTTGTTTAGAACTTAAATACTAATTAACTTCTCTGTTTCCAGGTAATTAAGGCTTAGCAACCAATTTAGGATTTTACTTTATATTTATAAAGGGACAAATGGTAAATATTGTTAACTTTATTTGCTACATTATATAAATAATTGCTAGTGACATAATATTGACGACGTGCTAAAGCAGTTCTATGAGAAACCATGTCACAAATTCTATTTTTATTACGTTTTAAATTAGGTTTAAAATCTGTATTTTTGTGCTTACGTAATATAACAGACATGACAAAAAGCTGTCTTACAGTAAGTACAGAGCATTCCTTAAAAATAAGTTCGGTGCTAAATCTTTGTGATTTACCTAGCATTACCTTTAAGATTGCTCTATGAGCACGTTCTAAGGGGAGTAAAGTTGTTTTTCCAATTCCACCCCATGTTACAATACAGTATTGTAGTAAACTTTGAGCAAGAGCATAGTAAACACATATCAATGTTTCAAAGTCAACAGAATTCCTCAATTTTCCGAATATTGGTATCAGTTTTCTAATACGGCAGGTTACATTGCTTATATGCTCTGATCAAGATAGGCAGTAGTCAATGATAAGTCTGAGGTATCTTATGTTAGTGGAACGAGTAAGTTTTGGGCAGTTGCATAAGCTATGTTGTTCACATGTATGTGTTTTGATATAAAATTCCGCTGATGGTTGGGTACTGGCACGGTGAGTGAAAGTAATATATTTAGTCTTGTTTACATTTAATGTCAATAGATTGCTACTAAGCCACCGCATGACCCTTCCAAGCGCATATTCTGTATTGTGTTGGGCTTCATTCCAGTCCTTACCATATACAATTAAAGCCGTATTGTCTGCGTACGAAATGATTTTGCAGTTAGGCAAGGAGAGAGTTTTGGCCTAAGAGAGTTGGGCCTAGTACACTACCTTGTGGTACACCGAACGATACAGTAGTAGGTAAACTAGTGTAATCACCGATTTTAACTAACTGCGTGCGATTAGATAGATAAGATCGAAATATATCTAAAGCAATTCCTCGTATGCCGATCAGTTCCATCTTATGCAGAAGTAGGGGAATAGAGACAGTGTCGAAGGCCTTTGACAAATCAAGAAAAACTATTTAATTATTATTATAAAAAACCTATAACTTTCAACTTATTATCAAGATGTTTTGCGATTGTCTCAGAGATTAAAGTTGCACCTTCAGTAGACTTACCTTTCACGAAGCCAAATTGATTATCTGAAATTATATTGTTATGTTTAAGAAAATTTGTGAATCTGAGATTTAAAACTTTTTCAAGAATTTTGGCTATCGCACTTAGTACAGATATAGGCCTGTAATTTTCGACAGTGTCTCTGTCACCACTCTTATGTATAGGGTGAACTAGAGCCCTCTTGAAAATATCTGGAAAAACACCAGTTTTAAACAGAGGTTACACAAATATGTTATGGGGGGAATCAGACGGTTTTTGGCACGTTTTATGACTAGGGTAGGTATGCTATCGATTCCCGTGGCTGAATCATTTTTTAAGTTTGTGATAATAGCTTCTATCTCGTAATAGTCTGTGTCAAGCAATACCATAGATTTATGCGAGCGGTTAGATTCATCACTATCTTTAACAATTTTTGGGTGGTCAATGTATTGCTGAGTTGTTAATATTGAGTTAGCATAAGATGGGCCAATTTCTGCAAAGTAATTATTAACAATATCGACAGATTTATGAGGATCATCAGTTAGATTTAGTAATTCACATGGAGGGGGTGAATATTGTTTGAGGTTAGTGATCTTATTTATAGTATTCCAAGTACCCTTTGGATTGCATTTATTTTTACAGAACTCGGCTTTCTCATATGCGGTTTTAATTTTTTTCAACAAATTGTTGCAAAAATTCCGATATCTCGTGTAAGTAATCTGTAATATTGCATTGTTTTTATCGTGCTTTGCTTTCTTGTGCAATTTGTCCCTGTGTCTTATACAGCGTACAAAGCCATGGCTTGATACATCGTTTACGGTGAGGAATTTTTATTTTATTGGAATGAGCAGTTATGGCATCAGTAATAGTTTTAGATAAAGCGGTAGCTGCTTCATTGGCATCTTTGATATTGTATATAAAGCTAAAATCTGCATCAGATAATTGTTTTAATAGTGATGGATAATCAATTTTGAAAGTTGTGCTTTTAGATGGATACCTTATAATTTTGCAATCTAAGTAAAACACTATCGGAGCATGATCAGTAATAAACGAATCCAGTATATATGTTGCTGAATATCTATCTGATCTCGACATTACATGGTCAATACAACTTTCGTTTCGAGTGGGGATTAAATGAGCTGCTAAATATCCATGGAGCGCCAATAAATCCAAATATTTACTGCTATTAATGTCATTATTGTTAGGAGAGATATTTATATTGATATCTCCAATCAAGATAACTATCTTACAGAAGAAGATGCAAGACAGAGATCAAGGCTTTCACAAAATTTATTAATATTTTTTTGTGAAGGTGATCGATATATGGCTAAAATGGCATATTTATTTTCATAATTTACGATAAGACCATTCGCATCAGAAATTAAAGGTGTGTGTATACTATGTATACTATGCTTTATTTCAGATTATATATATATCAGAACACCGTTGTTTTGGTTATTATACTCAGAAGAATAAGACGTATACCCAGCAATTTCAGGTATAACTGATAATTTGCTTAGCCAGCATTCCGTCAGTACAAGGATGTCGCATTGAATACAAATTCTTTCCATTAGTATGGCTAGTGAATCAAAATTACAAGTTACGCTGCGTATGTTAGTGTGAAACACTATTAAAGAATTTCTGGTCTGATTAATTTGATTAACTAGGTTTTCTGGAATGCATATCATGGAATTGGAAACAAAAACTAAATCAATGGCATTAGAGATATTATCAAGTATAACTATTAATAAGTGAATATTCAAAGGCGCATATCGTTGTTGCATTCAATAGATTATTTATTATAAGCTTGTATTTTGAAGTCTGTTGAAATACAGTATTAGTGATATAAAGATTTAATGAATTAGGATGTAGGTTAGGTAGTGTAAGTGTGTGTGAGTAGTATATATTGTTAAAAATTATACAATTAGGAAAAACAACGATAAATGTTTGTAGTAATATGTAGTAAGTTTTTAAATCAACGTAAACAAAAGGATACGAATGACTTAAACATTTAGAGAGTAATAAAATTATGTTAAAAATAATATATAAAAATCGAAGTAAATTGATCAGTCACGAAGAAGGTTGCGACTGCAATTGGTTTAGTTCATTTTCCGAATCAATCCAATGTGATGGAGCACCTTCTTTTTTTACGGATGAAAACTTTCCCGTGAGCAGTCCAGCAGTAGGCATAGAAGTTCCTTTTACTAAACTCTCGAGCGAGGTAGTATAGTTTTTTTGCTTTTTGAGTCAGACATTCGGTTACGAAAATTGGCTTTGCGAGTCCTTCAAATTGTATATCTCCTGTGTTTAGTTTTTTAGTATTATTAATCCGGTTATAATTTTTGACGGATGTTAAAAACTTTTCTTTTAAAATAGCAGTTGTAAAGTCTACTATTATCGGCCTATTCCCCCGTTTATCTTCATTCAAGCGAAATACATCGCGAATGAGAGAGTCCTCAATATGGGTGTTAGTAACTAGACCAACTTTTTTTACTATCTGTAACAAGTCATCTTTAGTCTCATTATGTTTGACAGGGATATTCTTTATCTCAATACTTGCCTGTTTTTGAAATCTCTCGAGATTCTCCACTTTTAATTCAAGGGTCTGAATATAGGCTAAATGCGTTTTTCTTTCAGTTTCCATTTTACACAATCGATCTTTGATTTCATCATACTGTTTTGAGATAAAGTCCATGGGTTTAATAATATCCCCATTTTGTTTCTGGATGTCACTAATACTACTTAGAATTTTTTAACTTGTTTATTTTTGAGGGTATCAAAAGCTTGTTTCATATCCGACATAAAAGCATATACCTCGTCATCATGTTGGCGCTTTCGGCCACGAGGTCTACTAGCAACATTACTAGAGCTATCATTATCGGTATCTGTGGCCGTAGCAGCAGCTGAACTCTGATTCGTATCCGACTTCGGGTTCTGTTGCGATGGAGGGGTCCTTTTAAGTGGCATTTTTTAAATAATAATAAAAAAGTAAGTAGCGGAAGACCTTTTAAGATTGACTGCTCAATTAGCGACTTACTAGGAGCACAGATTTAACTAAGCGATCGTTTCAAGATACGTAGCAGATTACTAACTTACGAATCACGTAGCGCGTTGCGATAGTAGGTGCTGTAGCATCTGAGGGGCGTGGCTTCCCGTAGCAGTCGTAGCAGACACATCCAGTTGCAAATTATTCTTTATAAAATTATGTTTTCCTGGTACTATGTCACTTATTTAAAATTTTAACTTATTTCAATCGCTTAAATTAAATGACTATTTAAATAACAAAATACACGTCTATACTCAAACACACCGAGGGGGGGAAGGGGATATTAGTATTAATAATTTATTACATTATAAATTATTAATACTAACAGATTATACAAAACAATTACTTAACTGAACGTTATTTTATATGGAGTATCATCTAAGAAGTCCGATACTGAGTAACAGCACCTTTCCAATAACAAAGATCAAATCATCGAGGATTGACTGGCAGAGAATGCCATAAGGCATTAAGTCCGCCCTTTATATCCCTTAGTATATAAAGTGTAAATTAAAGATTAAATAAATACTTACTTACTTACTTATCTTCACGCATAATCCCTAACGGGGTAGCCAGAGAGAACAGGTCGCCAAGTGTCACGATCCTTACATACCTCTTTCGCTTCTTTCAGGTTCATTAACTTCTTCATACATGCACGTCTAGGTATCCGAGTACTCTTGACCTTCCCCTCTTCGAGCAATTTGCTCACATGGTCTTCGAAAGTTAGTCTCGGTCTACCTCGACACCTCTTGATATTTACTTTCGCTCTATATATTTTCTTCACCATTCGGTCTTCACTCATTCGCTCAACGTGCCCAAACCTTTGGAGTACGCCCCTATCAATTTTTGTGATAAGGTCATCTTTCAATCCTGCCACATTGCGAATCTCTTCGTTTCTCTTTCGATCGGCTATGGTAACGCCACACATTTTACGAAGAGATCGCATCTCCACTGCATTCAACTTGCTTTTATGCTTCTTCTGGCATACCCAGGTTTCGCTGCCATATAACAAAGTTGGTACCAACACTGCGTTATGTATTGCAAGGCGTGCACTCTTCACCACGCCTTGCCTTTTGTCTAATGCATTCATGGCACCATTGACTTTGTTTCCGGCAGCGACGCGCCTATCCACATCTAAATCACATCTTCAATCCCGGCTGAAAGCACTCCCCAAGTATACGATTTCATTTACCTGTTCTAGACATTCCTGACTTACCCATATTTCACATTTCGTTCTCTCTTCGTCCTTTTCAAATACCAGAACCTTAGTATTATTAGCATTCAAACGAAGACCTTTAATTTCACATTCCTCTTTCATACACGTGACTAATGCCTGCAGTTCTGCTTGTTGGTGCAATAAGCACTGCATCATCAGTATACAGCAGACAATTTACTTTAATGTCACCCAATTTCACACCCAAACAGCTATTTTTCAGCTTCTGTAAACAGCTGTCGAGATACAGTATGAACAGCCAGGAAGACATGACACAACCCTGTTTTACGCCCGCTTGGACGCTAAACATGGGTGACAGGTCATGCCCTACTCGCACACAAGCTTTACAGTCATAGTAAAGTGACTGCACAGCCCTTAACAATCGACCATCCATACCATATCCCGGCAACAGTTCCCACATTTTCTTCCTTATAACCTTATCAAATGCTTTCTCCAGATCCACGAAAGCACAGAAAATCCTCTAGTTAACACTCAGAAGCTTCTCCGTGATCATCCGGAGAGAAAACATTTGATCCGTGCATCCTCTTCCAGGTCTAAATCCGCATTGGGCCTCCCATAAGAATCTTTCCGATTTCCCTTGCATCCTACGTGTCAAAACCTTCGAGTAGACTTTACTTGCTAAACTGGTCAAGCTGATCGCCCGATAGCACCCGAAGTCAAAATGTGAACCTTTACCTTTATATAAAGGCACAATGACCGCGGATCGCCAATCATCCGTGACATGTCCCGTCCGCCAGCACAAATTGCACAGCAGACGAAAGCTGTCCCAGACGCGAGGCCCACCGTACTTGACCATTTCAGCAGTAACTCTGTCTAGTCCCGCAGCCTTACCACATTTCAAACTTCTAATCGCACGTTCAATCTCTTTCATGCTGATGACCTCAGTGTTATCGAGGTTCGTGTCTGGCGTGCCAGTCATGGCCTCACCCCCGGACCCATCACTAAGATCATGACACGCATACATTTCTCTATAAAATTCACTCCATCGCTGCATGACGTCCGATTTTTCTGGAGGACATCATTGGTTCTCGAAAGCACTTTGTTCATTCTTAAGGCTGTCGCACCACTCCGGGACCTTCCAACCTCTTTTCAGAAGAGTTTGGAGTTTTCCTTAAAGTTGTGCGACAACGTCTCGTCCGCTTCTATTCTACACCTTTCACGTACTTCCTCAATCAATGTTTTCGCGTGAACTTTCTGCAGCTTATATCCTTCTTTTATCTTCTCTCTCATATGCTTATCGTTAATAGAGGCCAAGTAGTCTAACCATGCTTTTTTCTTCTTTTTTACAGCTTCTCTCACTTCATCATTCCACCATGCATCTCTTTTTTTACTACTACCTCTTTTTGCCGTTCCACATACTTCTACCGCTGCATTTACCATTCCATCCCTAAGGTTCTGCCATGTTCTCTCCACACATTCTTTCCTGCCATCGATGGTGTCAAGCTTTTCAGCTACCCTCGTGTGATATTTGTCCCTAGTATCCGCTTCCTGAAGCTCCCAGCTTCGGATGCGACAGACCGACTGTGGTTCTGTTACTGCCGTCCGGTAGCGCCAACCCGCGAACAAACCCCTATATCTAGTAATTACTAGATAGTGATCCGTTCCCAGGTCAGCACTCCTGAACACTCGTGTATCCAACACCTGTTTTCGCAGTCGGTCATCCACCAGGAACAAATCAATCATACTTCTCTCATTCTTTCTTTCTCTATTGTACATATGGATTTTCCTGTGATTAAACATAGTGTTTGTTACAAGAAGACCCTTTTCCTTGCATACAGCCAGTATAAGCTTGCCTGCATCATTAACCCTTTTATCGCTAAACTTTCCAAGCACCGACTCGTATCCTGGTCGAGCGATACCTACCCATCCATTAAAATCAACCAAAAAGCTACCAGCGCATAAACAGCCAGAAGGAATAACTTCGTCAGTCCCAGTTTAAAGCGAACCCAGAGAAGTCTTGAGTTCACAACCTTGTATTCAGTCATAAGATCGACTAACCGGGACGACAACAGCACCCCCACTCCCTGGCAGGCGTTCTCGCTTTCCGGGACTCCGGACCATATAGCTAACGTCCCGCCAGGGAGCTCTTCAGTACCATTGCCTTTCCGTTTGGTCTCCGACATACACACGACATCTAATTCTCTTTCTTTCATTATTTCGATCAACTCATTCGTCTTATCTCTCATGCCCGCTCTAACATTCCACGTGCCAACTCTGCACTCCGTCCTCCACCTTCCGCCATGTCGGGCTGTGCGTGACGGGTGGCGGTTCCCATCGCCGATTTGCGCGCTGCATTCCACACCAACGGGGACGAGCTGGTGTGCGTCGCCTTGGGGGGACGCCCTGACTCCCGTTTGCATGGGTGCGCAGCTGTGTAGAATTGCAGCCCTGAAAAGGGCTGGCAGGGGTCGCGACGAGCACGATTCTACAATGACCCCCTAAATAAATAAAGAAGTAAGACTCTTTTGAAATATTCTTATCGGTTGATTTTTTAAAAAAATTAGGAATTTTATTATAAATGACTGGTGCCATGCTCATAACACTTTTTTTTAATAAAGCTGTTTGAAATCTTCCTGTGTACAATAAGTCTTTATATTGCGTTCTTGTAGGTACAGTTCGTACTCGAGTTTCATTTAAGGTAGGAAATAAATGATGATTAATTTTGACAAATAACTCTACTTCAAGAATATATAGACACGGAAAGTTAATAATTTATGAGCTTTAAAAATGGGGACACAACTATTGGTAGTCTTTAAATTAAGGATTGCTCTTATACTGCGCTTTTGGGCTTTGAAAATGATTTCTCTATCGCCACAGTTGCCCCAAAATATAATACCATATCTTAAAATGGAAACCACCAGACCATGGTAAGCGACTAATACCGTTTTGATATTGGCGTTTTTTGTCAGGTTATAGAGTGCATAAGCAGACACACTTAGTTTCTTACAGACATCATCTGCTTGGGCCTTCCATGTTAATTGGCTAACTATTAAAATACCTAAAAATTTTGCGACATCTACTCTTTCTATTGCTTGACTATTATAATTTACATTTAGATATTCAGTGCGAAGTTTCTGGTAAAAGTGCATTATTTTAATTTTTTGAATATTTATAAGTAAATTATTATAATTCAGCCAGTTAATTATAGTTTTAATCGTAGTGTTTATATCATTTTCATAAAAATGTTTATTTAGAAAATTTATTAGAGCTGTACTATCGTCGGAAAATAATACCATTGAATGATGGATTTGACGTGGGAGGTCGTTTATATAAAGTAAAAATAACAATGGCCCAAGGACGCTTCCCTGCGGTACGCCGAATTTTATTTCTCTATAGGAAGATACATATTTGCATTCACGTTTAGATTTAATGCATGTTCTAGTAATCTCTGAACATTGTTTACGGCCAATCAGATATGATTTTATTAAGTTGAGAATGTTACCTCGAATGCCGTATGCGTTAAGTTTCTGTAATAGTATTTCATGGTTTACATAATCAAAGGCTTTCGAACTGTCTATATATATATAGCACATATGGGCGTCTGGGTATCTAAATTAGTCATTACCATCACAGCCATATTTATGCTTCTGTTTTTACGAAACCCATTTGTTCATCGCAGAGTATGTTAAATTTAGCCAAAAATGCGTAAATTGATTCGTAAATAACTTTTTCCATTATTTTAGAAAACAC